TGAGTCACTATGGTTCCACCCATAGACCAAGTGATTGCTATGCTAACCCAGAAATCATGGTCCTACAGTCAAAATTTTAACTCATTAAGTTACATTGCACCCTAGTGACCCTACTTTATTACTTTCCTGTCTAACACCAGACAATTTTATTTGTGAGCGGGAGAGTGCTTGAAGTAAGTTATATCATGCTTTCAATAAGTAATGTTCAGAGGTGTAACTTAACACTTGCCGCACTTGCCCGGGGGGCAAGTGAATATCATGACAATGTAAGTAAATGTTTCATCTTCCTTGCCTGATTGGGCAAGTTGTCTTGCCACAAAAAGCTGGGCATCATTAAGTTTATGTTTTTATTGTCGGATACATGTTTTATAGTGCATGTACTTGATTCAAATTTATTTTTTGTGGGCCAAATCTAGATATGAGGCAGTATAACATAGCCATATAGAGCATTGGAAGAACGGGTTGACATGTTGTTCCCTTAATTTATACCTAATGGCAAGTGAATTTTATTCAGGGCAACTATTTTTTATGTCCAACTTGGCACTAGCCACTAGGGCAAGTTGTCAAAAAAGTAAATTATATGAACTATCATGGTTATAAAAACTCTGGAATCAGGTATGCGGTTATTTTCAAAAAAATTACATTATCACTCATCAATATCTCTGTAGGTTGTTGAAGAAGATCGGAGGAGCCTCAATCAACCCGAAGAAGCAGAAGAAAGCGCGTAAAGGAAAACTTGTGACCAATTGGAAGCACTTTTTTCCTATGGCATTTCAAAGGGAGTTATGAAGCCACCATGTGAACAGTCATCTGGTAATTAAATCATATTATTTTGTTTTTTGATTAATTAGAATACCAACATTGGATTCATTGGCACCGACATTAGGTGTTAATAGAAAATAATGAATGAAAATTGCATTTTGGTTTATACTGTATACTAATAAATGATATGAAAATTGCATTTTTTAGCTATCAAAATCACAATGCTCTCATTAAAATATAACTTAATTAATATTATTTTTTAATATGTGATTCTAGACACAAAAGTACTTCACCTAATGAAGAATATCAATTCACTCTTCAAATCAAAAAGTGAACCTGCTATAAGAGCAAAGTGGACATCATAACTTTATTGAGGTGAGTTAATAGTTTCATTTAAGTTTATAAAATTCATACATGGTCGGTCATAAAGTAATTACTAGAGGCGGGTGGAGGATAAATGAAGTTTCAAGAAACATATTTCCATACCCTCCTGAAAATTTATGGAAACATTTTCATAACCTCCTTCAATGTAAGTGAAAATTTTCATTACAGGTTCTATTGGTGTGAGCTTGCTAGCATTGTCATTGACAATTCAAATGTACCAGGTTTGTACTCCAAACGTTCCATGGATACTGAATCCTACTTATCATCTGACATTGAATCAGACTGAAACATATATACTTTGTGTTGATTTAATAATAATTATAGTAAAACAATTCTTTCCAAACTTAAATCTGGGCACAAATACATTCAATATTCAACAATAATTATAAAATGTAATTTTTTCCCGTACCAATAGTAGTATAATTTTGGTACCCCCTAGAGGTTCTGTTGGTTTTTTGTACCCTTCTGAGAGGTTTATCATCCCCCCCCCCAAAAAAAAAAGCCTCCACACCCCCTAGTAAATACCGGTCCCTAAGGCTGAAATGCTGAATCAAATTTAGTGTACGTATACATCTTCATAGTTTCGAGCCTTCCAGTTCCTATAGTTGAGATAAGATAATATGGGCTAACAAAACTATCTGCCAGTGTCTACTGTTCCATCCATCGTAGTATTTCGCTCTGTCTAACCCCAGAGGATAGCTCGTTAGTGAAACAATAAGCTGTTAATTAGGGAGCAGTCATAATTAACTTTTTCTTAAATAGCCTAATTTTGTTATGTTTTTCATGCGTTCAAAACAGAGTTGATTATTTCGCGGTTAGAGCAGGATGAATATTATTCTTTAATGAAGGAAATAATATTGCTTTTTGCAAATACACATCACAGTATCAACGCTACTATTTTGTTACGTTTTGTTCCAAAAATGCTGGATGTCTCTGGGGAGTTGCTTGTTATGTCTTATGGAGTTGTATTGTTTGATTGTGTTTCATTCTCAAATAAGAGTTTGGGTGTGTGGGTGTTTGGGTTTTACAATTCCATTGTAAAAGCATGCACTAATTCAGAACTACGAACGATCCATGACGATCCTTTGCGATGCAGTGGTCTCATGAAATAAGTAACTTGACGTATTCGTGCTAGGAACACGCGCGGATTTCGGACGAATAAATCTTGCTTTTATTTTGTAGATAATTATACTGTGTTTCATAATAAACAATTTGTCAAGTGTAATATATTTACTGGTAATAGTGCATGTTTCAGTCGGGCAAATCTTGATTAATATTTGATACGCCGTTTTTTTGCATATTTCAGACACATCCAGAAATATGCTCCCGATTTTAAACATTAACTCATTCTCATTAGGTGGAAAAGTAGCAATTTTGAGTGGTGTTGCTTTAAATGCGTATATGTTTCAAACTGTACATCGTACGAAAACAGGAATTGCATCGTTCGAAAGAAGGGGACTACAGCTTTCCAACGATACCTATTTCAATTTCATCCCGAGCTTGGTAACGATTTACTCGCATAAATTTGCATAAATTATGATATAAAAAAATGTTGCAATTATGCATAAATATATTTACCAGTTCAAATTTCAAATATGTCCAAAATTTTATGAATGTAGCTGAAAGACCACGTTGTGATCTACATGTGTCCGAAGTTTGATGCACGTAGCGTAAATGGAAGTATTTTTATTGAATTTGTGAATAAATTATGTAGTGGAGTAAAATTTACATTTTGTGCTCACATGAAACAAATACCATTATCAAAGGTCCTTTTTCATTGCTGCAACATATTATCAATTCAAATTTCCAATATTTCTTACTCTCCAAGGATAGTATGGCACCAAAATAAGTCTGTGATACCCACAAAAGAACACTCAAATCACTATTTGCAAAATGTCTCTATTTCTACGGTTACTATATACATTCTTAGATAATCAGTATACCATTGACTTAGTTATCAGTGGCATAACCAGCCTGAAAATTTGGTCATACTCTTCAAATTTTAAATAATCATTACTCATTTCTTAAGAAATTGATTGTTTTCACAATCTAGAACATGAAAATATTTGCATATAGCATGACCAAGTGTTGTTTGACTGGCGTCATCATTAGTAGTTATAAAAAAGTAATGTTTTCCAAGGCAGTAATGTTTGCCAAGGCACATAATTGGATTATGCGGTGAAAATATTTCCTTTTTTGCACAAAATATATATTGGACCACAAAATACCTAAGACTGTAACCAAACATATACCACATCACCACGTCCTACCCAAGTCCATGCTGCTATGAATCTCCGGACTTCTTCCTGTATAAATCTCAAAGTCGCAATATAACCATTAGGAACGACTGCAGCAACCCACAGATTTATCCCCCACATAGTAGGCCATCTTTCATGAACTGCCTAATCCCCAACCTATTCCTTGATTTGACAGTGTGTTCGTCAACAGCAATAGTCTGTGATGGCTGGTACAGTTGTTGATGCAGTTTATTGCTGTAGTCTTCAGTGACAGGATCTACCATATTCAGAAACGCCATAAGCGCTTCGTACCTAAACCGAGAAATTATTTCTATTGCCCGCAGACCATGATATAAGGTTTTTACACTCCAATAGCTTTCAATCTCACTGTCGACCCTTACCAAACCTGCATATACTAAAAAGGCAATCAACCTCTCAATCACCTCAAGGTTGATGGACTCCAAGACCCTTCTTTATTAGTATATGGGGATGATTTTTGGGTTGTTTGTATGTGGGCATATGTATTTGTATGGCCGGGAAGCTACCTCCTGAAGCATTCCCTTAGTAAAAGAGCCGAATGAACTCAAGGTCACAGTTCATACTTCTGGTGAAAGCTTGATCGAAATGGATCCTGGACATGTCGGTGAGCGGCAAAATCTGGAAGAATATTCCTAATGTCAGGATCACCATATCCGTCATGTAGGCCTACTATGGGACCTAGTGGGGGTGCTAGACAAAGAGCTTTCAAAACCTTGGGTCCTATTGGCTGGGCTTCCCTCTACCTCTACTCATCCCTTTACCTTCCCTCTACACTTACACGTCTTCCTAATGGGGGTTGGGGAGTGGGGTTCTCATGACTCATCAGAACTGCTACTTCCCTGAGGCTATGAAACAGGAATAGCAGCTAACAACAGGATCAATATCTTTGTCACAGCAAATAAAAACATTTTTAAAGATATAATTTACATGGTGCCACTTGAAATTATAATAAGAGCCAAACTAGTAAGACATAAGTATGAATACTTGGTATGTAACAAACAACCAAGCATGTGCTCAAGGCTCATTTTACTTTCCTAGGAATCAGAGTTGTTATGCCTAAAGCACCATAAATTTTCGTCAACAATATAAAAAAATACCATTTCTATTTGTCAATTTCAGTGTGGAAGGATTATTTCAACACAAAAAATGCGATATGAGGACATGCTTGGTCGTACTAGTAAGTTCTAATAAAAGCAAATATATTTACAACACCATGGCAACGGCAAAACATTGAAATGGAATGTCTAAAAATGAACAAAATACTTGCCTTGAAGCTCCAGACACAACTCCCAATGCCAGGTTGAGATACCTGTCTTCATACGAAGATATTCCGTCATTACTAGCACTATCAAAACTAAGACTAAAGAATAAAACTAAGAGCGTCTTGAAGTTGCGATTTGAGAGAATGTCAGATTTCACAATGTCGTTAGCAAAAAATAAACGCTGCGCAAAAGAATGAAATAATTCTTTTTTGAGTAGTCCTACTAGGCCAAGTACTAAGGTACAGAAAGAACAAATAAATTACGAACTGACCGAAAAAAATGGGATTTAGATTCGCTGTTTAAGCTGGTTGAGAGCATGAACAAGAAACTGGACAAGCTTGAATCAATCGAAGCGCTTTTAAAACACGTGAATCATGATATGGCTGAACTTAAACACTCGCTATCTTGTATGCACGATACATCTGAAGAATTGAAGTTGAAACAGATCTCCTATGATGGTATGTTGTTGAAAAATGAAGAAAAAATAGGTAGTCTCGAGAAGTTGGCGTCAACCCTTAAAGAAGAGCTAATTGACCTCAGGGCACGAAGCATAAGGAGTAACCTTATGTTTTACAATCTACCTGAGAATGATGAAGAAGATCCTGAAAAAGCGGTGTCAGAGGTATTGGAGAAGATCAATCCCGAATTCAAGAGGATGGAAGTCGAAAGGGTGCACAGAATTGGGAAAAAAAGGTTGGGTTCGGTGCGACCTATTGTTACGAAATTCCTCCGCTTTAAAAAAAATGAACTTATCCGGAAAACAACAAAAAGCTAAAAGGTACCAAGATTGGAATATCCGAGCAGTATCCCAAGGAAATCGCTGAGGAAAGGAAAAAGCTACACCCAATAATGAAAGAGGCAAGACAAAACGGATCGAAAGCAGTCATGATCAGAGACAAGTTGTATATAAATGACCAGAGGTATTTTCCGACACGTTGATAGACTCGTTCAATCCTGCATGTTTAAATAAACTTTGATTTTAGATATCTACAATAATATACACGAAGTTTATCTGTTTATTAAACTAACAAGTACACCTACTCAGTATAAACTTTAATTAAAAACCAATCTAAATGCCTATATATAATTATCAAACAATAGAAACATATTGCTACACGAGCAACTTGCAAGTTACTGATAAGTCAATTAAATGTTATATATGTGGCAACATTTTTCACACAAAAACAGGATGCACTAAGATTAGAATCAATGACCTAAAAAATGTGATATCAAATAATGATTCGTCTGCATGTCATCAATGTTTGGAATCCTGTTTTCCGTTTAATAACCTAAATAATCCTGATTTTTTACAAACTATTGAAAACTTGACACCAGAAATTGATATGAACAGAATTAATAATTTAGTATTTCATCCGTTTAAAGGTTTAAATAATAGTGAAACTGAAAACCTTAACGAATTTGCAATCAATCCGGTAATTGAAAATGCTTATTATTTTATGTATATTATTATTATTATTATTATTATTATTATTATTATTATTATTATTCATGTTTAAGAAGATTCGCCATCGCATAAATTTGAATTGCGATGAATTAACAACTAAGCATTTAAGAGAGGATGTCCACAAAAATCAAACATAAGGTGGCCATGACTGAAAAATCGATTTTGCTCAAATTTTGCCCAGATATACTTTATTATATCAGAAAATGCACCATTTATTTTTTTAGGTCAAATGCTTTTTTAACTTTGAGAAGATGCTGTTTTAACACGACCACCCTAAATCGCCATTTTGGCTGGGAAAATATGCGCTGATTTTACCGACAAATTTCACGACGACAACCGTTTCTAATCGATCTAAAACCCTAAAAATCTTGTTTTCGGTTATTCAAAGGACCGGGTACGTGACTTACAGGAAATCTGAGTTACTTTTAGGAATAGAAATAATCGTAGTTTTGGAGTACACTATCTTACTTCATTTACGATACCCTCTTAACAAAGCCGATTTTCACCATGGGATAAAGCTCCAAATCGATCATGCTTCTACTTGTTGGCTCTTTAATAAACAAGCTTTCAATTGACGTAAATACTTCTTTGGGCAAATGAATACGCGATAAACGACAGAGCGTTGAAATCTTCCGTTTTTGACGTCTTGCAAGTCAAACGCTGTTAATTTATATACCGTCGAAGTAAACAATTTAATCAAGTATTCTAAGTATTTTACCTTTTGAGAAAAACATATTCTTGAATGGAGACTTTTTGCATTGCTAAGTTTAAAAGTGGTCCAGAAATCCCGGTATATTTGTAAAAAAAATCATCACACAGCCGGTATTTTGAGACATTGTTGTCAGTTGAATAACTTCAGATCATTATTCAACGTGATTTACGACACAGTCGTTGTAAACTTTAGCGCTAACATATACGAATCGATGAGCTATTTAAGGATTATATTTGCTACTATATTCCCCAAAATAATTTGAACTACAAGTGCTGTTTTCAGAGGTTTTGTTCCATTTTGTCCATATTAATGTACCATTTTATGTATCGACTAATGTTTACGAATACGTAAGTTAATTATTAAGCAGTTGTTAGCCTGTGCGTGTACATGTGAAATGAACGTTTATAACGTTTATCCATATAAGGAGTTTTTATTTTTAGTTTACCATCCCTTATATTTGAATGTGTGTTAAAACTGCAAGGTTTATACACTATTGATCTCACTAAAATCCCACAGACCACAACGATTATACGTATTGATTGTTTCTTGACGATAGTGGACGCGTACGTGCATGTTGCGGAAGAGGTTATTTCGCTGGCCTCAGAGTGACAAAACGTAACAAAGCTTTACACTAACCCTATTCCAAACACCAACACTATACCTTAACCCTAATCCTTACCCTAGCCCTTGCTCCTTATTAAATAACATACCATAGTAAATAATTTAATCACCATTTCTAAGTCCTATTGGAGGTCGGACAAGGGCGGCGCCAGGGCCGCCAATGCAGGGGGGGGGGGCAAAGGGAGCAATTTTCCCCGCGCCCCCAGCTCAACGACGGCGGGCAAATACAAATTTGCAAGGGGATAAAAAGTTTGTCGACGGAGGGGGGGGGGGGATAATTGTGGTTCACCGGGCCCCCAAAGGTATAATTTGCCCGAGTTGGCCTGGGCTGCGCCAGTAATTCTCCGATGGGGGGAGTCATCGGTGCTCTCTTTCGATCTTTGGCAATTGGCATTGAAAACACAAGAACTACTGACAAGTGACCAGGGCCGGATTAACGTCGCGCGAGGCCCCAACCCCCTCACCCTTGTTCTGAAAACCTGGCCGGGTCAACATGTATAAACAGGATCATAATATAACAGCTCAACGCAACTGCAAATTATATGCACACGAGTTTTGCATATTTTCCCGGGGTCGTGCTGGGGCCAACTGCCAAGCCTAGGGGCCCTAAATGCGCGAGGTCTCTAAATTTGCGAGGCACCTAAAATGGGCGTGTCCCAATAGAAAATGGCCGTGTTCGCGTAAAAATGGGCGTGGCACAGTAAAGCGCGTGGCCCCCATAAGCGCGAGGCCCGCGGATTTGCCGCATCTGACACTTGGTTAATCCGGCGTTAAAGGAGCAACAAGCTTCCATTTTCTTTCGGGGCTGATTACATGGGCCGAGTTGTCCCGCTTTGCCGAGTTGTCCCGGCTAAGCGAGTTGACTTTTTGATTGTGATTACATGCATGCACCGCGCTAACCCGGCTAGCCGGGCTGAAGTAGCTCATTAAGATTTGTAATGCTTAACAATTTAACACTCGGTGTTAGAAATCGATTTAAAATGGTGTATTTGTTGTATTTGAGGACTACTTTACGCACTGAATTTTGTTGGTTGAGGTATTTATATTTAGCGCTGATCCCAACAGGCTTCCTATCTAAACCTTGAAAACGTTCATTAATATCATTTTGATGTTATTTGAAGTTTTTTTAACATATATTTGCACATATAATCGAAATTAAAACATGCATAAGTGTGGTTTTCAGCCCGCTTTGCCGAGCCAACTCGGCAAAAAGCGATTACATGGGATATGTGGGCAATTTCTGTCCCGGCTAAGCGAGTTGACTTGGCAAGCTACAGCCGCGGTCCCGGCAAGGCGAGACAACTCGCTTTGCATGTAATCGAATTGTCAAAATAATAGACAATATATATAGGAAGCGGGTCAACTCGGCAAAGCGAGTCAACTCGCTTAGCCGGGACAACTCGCCCATGTAATCGGCCCCTTAAACGCGACGTGTGGGGTGACAATAATAATTTCTGGTGTCGCACTGGGCTGACATATCTCAATGCCAGCCTCGTCCCCGGCGCTTTGATGTTGCGTGACGCGCGCGCGGGAGGACACGCGTGGGGGGAAAGGAAAAATTCGGAGCGAAGCGCCTGGGAGAAAATGCTTTCAAGATGGCGGACAAAACAAGTGATTTGCATTTTTGTCTTGACAACGATAGTGAAGATGGTCAGTATAAACAGGTAAACATTTTAAAATTCAAATTACTATTTTAGTATTTCATGGAATTCTTGAAAAAATGTTGGGAATAAGTGGTAGACTTTATTTTTTAGGAAATAAGTCACAAATATTTATGTGTGGTTGTAGATATAAAACCTTTTTGTATTTACTGTAACTTTATGCGATAATTTCATCCCTCAATCCCGAAATTAAATGGTTGCACAGTACAGGTATGTCAAGAGATGAAACTATGATGTGCTAGTATATTAAATTGGGAATTAAGGTTTTACATATTTAGTCAAGGGTTTTGTTATGCATGAGCTTGTGGTGAACTTGCTGAACTGGTGCAGGTCTGCAGGACAGAGCTCAGCTGCTAGGGGCAGCTGATCTGAGAAGTGAGAAGGCATGTTTTATATCTAGGATTGTAGTTTATGTCCTCTCTGATAGTTTGTTGCATGTATATATTAAGTTATCAAAGGAGCAGTGCCACGGTTCTACTGTGCATCCAAAATATGCGCGAACTTGAAAAACTGTCTGCCAACAATTAATCAAGTTAGGAGTGAAATACGATATACTATTTATAATCCCTTCGTTATGCAGGACATCCTTGCTTTGTTTTAAAAATTGAAGGCTGCTGCTGCATCTTTTCAATCATGTAGCATTAATTTTAAACGTTTCTTTGCACCGTTTATTTTAGCCAATCAGCGCCGTGACACTGCCCCTTTAAATTGTTTCTAGTTCTGCCATGTTTCTGTCCCTGAGGTTATTAAGGGCTGTTAATGGGGACAGCTAGCCCAGTAAGCAAGACCTCACCGTGTGGTTACTTTTATAGTGGAAATTCCTTTCAATTTGTATGGCAACATCTCACTTGAACAAGCAACATCTCAGTTATACCGGGAGGATATTTTGTGGCTATACAAAACACTAACCAGACTGACTTGGTCAAAATAAAGTCAAAACAACAAAATTGGTCATGACAATATTGTCAAAACAATAGAGACGCAGAAATTTCCAACAATGAGTGCATGCTACTGACATTGTTATTGAAACTGAGTACCAAGCAACATGTTTGAAAATTAAAGATGCAAATTCTTGATTAATTTTGTATTATTTTAGATTAAATTAATTATTAAACCTAACTGTACAATCAAGTTACGTGTAATAGAGTATTATTATAACTTTTCGCTTTTCCAGGTTTTGATCCACAAAGTTATAGAGAAAAGTCATTGTTAGTTCTGCCAATTACGTCTGTACCACTACACCACTACTCTTGCGATTTGAACATTCAGAAGAACTTGTATTAATCTCTTGTCCACATGACTTACATCACCCTGAA